TTTTTTTTTTTTTTTTCGCCCGCCCGCTCCATTATTTTTCTAGAAAAATCCGTTAACCAAGAAATTAAATTGGTGTGGCCTAATAAAAATGTATGTTAAAAGTATCCAACACAAAAGTGGACTTCATAAACCATACAGATCTTGGTAAGATAAGATATTGACTACAGTACATGTACATGTATATCCTTAACTATTCCCCTGCCATGAGCTCAATTTTTATGGACTAAATCTATATAAGTTTCAGCATAAGATTGCAGGAGAAGGGTTAACATTTATGCCTAATTCCTATTTTAAAAATTAATTACCTGTGCTTCAGGCGGTGGGTTTGCTCTGAAGAGGTCACGTGACTTCAGCAGCTGGAATTTGGTGACTTTTGCTGGATCCCGACAGAACATGGCCTTGTTCCTCACCAGCCTGGCTACAAATACTCCAACGATCTGAAACATTCATTCTACCAGTCAGTCTTTTTCACAATGAAATTCTGCAAGTACAACGACTGGAACGCATTTGTAAGATATACCGGTTTTCGTCAACAAGTTTACAATCCCCATCATGATGTTAATTTTGACATACAAAAATTGTGACCTACAATTCCACGAACACAACAAAATAAAATTGTTTACTGTATGTGCCTTGGGTTAAATTGAAACTTATTGCAGACCTGGATCTTACAAAAGATTATGCTGAAGTGGACGATGAGCATGAAAACAAAGTGTGCAGGAAAAGTTGTACCTTGATAAAAGCAGTATTCTTTTTTCTTTTTTAAGGAGGTATTGTAGTCATCATAATACATGTACCAGTTTTCTTTCCACCCCTTATAATAGTTTCAGCATGCTCCCTGGCTATATTTTCATTCTAAAATACAGTACAGGACAACCTGAAGCTAATAACCTAGAGATGATTCATTTACAAATACTTACAGCTAGATATCTGTTCTGTAACTGTGTGAGTTGGTCCCCAAGTTTCACAACAATCTTCTCCACCTTCCTCTCATGTGTGTAGGGTTGGATGTCTGCAGAGTCATCTGATCTCAGCTCCACATGGGTGATTAACAGGTTAGACAGTACCTGTTGAACTCCCTAAAAACAGATTTGAAGACAAACCAGTCTTTCACATGTTATAAAAAATATACCTGTCTGAAGGGAATGTGCTGAGCATGTTATAACTTATATTTAATAAACATCCATAAAACAAGCAGATAAACTCAAGTACTGTAAAAACAGACAGTTACAGTCAACAGATAGGTATGGTATCATACCTTGAGGTCTCCTCCTGGCGTTGCACTGAGTGCCAAAACTCTAAACTGCATTGTAAACTTGACGAGCTCCTGTACAACCTGAAGGTCATAAGTGTAAGAAACAAACGTTAGTTTCTAGTAGTGCAGAGACTATCACATGCAAATGTTGCATAATATGACTGGTGCAATCACCTTTAACATACCTCTACACATTTGTACGTAACATGAATACATGTACTGTCCTTTAAAAAAATTAGCTCAGGGCACAGCCATATCTTGCATGATGATATGATGATTTGTCCACCAGCAACTCACAGTTTGCAAGATACATGAAAATGAAGTTTTATTGAGTCTTGATATAGTCTGCACAACTGTTTGTTGTTTTCTATCAACATACATCAAGAATCAAACCTATCATGAAAGATCATCAGTGTGTTGGTAGTACTGTAATCATTAATCATTCTGATGAAGGTGACAGCGGTCGTTGAAAATTGATCTCTGTTAGTGTGTAATCCTTCGATTCCTTGTGTTGGAATAAAATAAACATTTTACAACAATCTGACCTGACAGAAGGCGTGGTTTCCCAAGGCCTTGTGTGCCTCGTCCACCACAAGGCACTTCACCTCCTCTGCCGGACACGCCCCCCGGCTCAGGTCGTTCACCATGACCTGTGGGGTCAGGAAGAACACACGCCTCTCCTGCCACGCCCTCTTCCTCTCCGCCGGAGGCATGGACCCTACAGATTGATAGGAAAGCAAGTAATTATTAGCCACTACCAGGCTTCGGTAGGCGGCTGGAGTAGAAATTGGCCAAATAGAGCGAGAGATGCTGAGGGAGTTGGTCCACTAGAGCACAGTTTGCAAACATAGCAGAGTTATTATCATTACAGTGAATCATTGCAGTGGATTTGTTTCCTTTGTATTACTGTAATTTTAGATTTAGAAAATGTTGGGAAAATATATAAGACTGGAAAAGGACTCTTCATTACTGATTTCCATAATCATTAGTTGTTTACCCATGAACGTAGGTTAGGACTACATGTGTATACAAGAATAAAACATACTGTAAATCACGATTTTTCTGTGGTACTTTTGTAGCTATTTGCAGTTTTATGTTCAACTTTTTTCTAGGAAGAAAGGAGGCTTGGCATTCCCGGTAGTTTAAGTTTGTTATGGAAGCAAAGAGTGCATGGAAGACCAACATGTTTGCAATGTGATGATTTCACCAAGGAGAGTAGACACTACGAAAACTTAAAAAAAAAAAAAACAGCAAATATTTCATAATTTACAGGTCCTTAAAAATTGCATCTTGGAAGCAGTGATATACTGTAGTAGCAACTTATTAAAATGGCAAAGGCCTTCTGATGACAATTGACAAACCATACAACAAGGAATAGTACTGGTGTCACCTGTCATTTCAGCAGTATCCTTCTGTGGGATTCCCATAATGTTGAAACATGCTTCTATCTGCTGGGCTACTAGAGGCTTGGTGGGAGCCATGAAAATCACCTTCCCCATAGGATACCACCTGTAGAAGTTGTACATTACTACAGCGGCAATGAACGTCTTCCCAAGTCCCGTCGGCAGGGTGACCAAAGTGTTCTTAAACAGGGCTTGATGTACGATGTTGTACTGGTACTCTCTGACAGGGTAGTTGGTTGGGTAGATCCATAATTTTCCAGCTGAGTTGTCAAAGCCAGGGAGGTCTTCTAAAGGTGTGCAGTCTGTAGCGGATGGAACATTCGAGGGAGGATCAGCGGTTTCTGAGTAACCATCCATTGCTGCAGCCAGCATCTCATCATCCTCCATATCATCCATGAGGTCAATGACCTCAGAGTCAATAACCCCTGCTCCACTGGTAGAACTTGATGCATGATTGTTGGTAGAGTCAACTCCAGACTGTTGGGGCTTCTTCCCCCAGCTTTGGAAAAGGGTTTGCTGCCGGGGTCTGCCGCTCATCTTGACTAAAGTCGTCTTCTCTTACATTTTGTCACTAAAGAAACAAAAAAGCCTGTGGTTACCAGTTAATTAGACAGTTTATGGGCAAGATATATATATATGTCACAGGGGAGCTATTTGGCCTGGCTTGATCATAAAGTTTATAAAGCTGGTATAACGTGTTAACTAACATCTGGTGAAACACCAGAAAATATTTGAATCTTGATCATGGATCAATCGCAATCACAAGCTGGGAAGAATAAAAAGATATCATTATGTTCAGGGAATATAATTTATTTCAGTGACAATCGATCTACAAGTTATTGATTATTATAAAAGTGCACAGCCTGACCATCATAATTCTTGTTTAGTAATGTAACGTTAATGGTTTTAAAATAATAACATCACATCAAAATAAATTATGTATTGTATGATGCAATGAAATTACAAACAAATCAAACTTTTGTTATCATCTACAAGTATTATATCATCAGAAGTATCCAAAGGCCGTGACTTTTATGTAATTGTAGCCTTATCATGAAACTTGCACATAAACAAACACGTCCTGACTTGCCAGATGCAGACGTGCCCAGATGCCTCGATCTACAACACCCCCCTCCCCCTTGGGTTCAAACGATTCTTTTCAAGTCTTCTTTCGAGAAAAGGGGAAAAATATCTATCCCGATCAATAACCATAACCCAAAAATATAAAACTTACCTTCTTGAAAGAAAATATTAGGGGGAAAAGAACGTAGACCAAAGTTTACGGGCAAACTTTTCAACTTTTTCGGTCCCTTTTCGAAAATATGGCGCCAGATGTTGGACTGAACCATAATATCGTTTCTGTTTGTTTTAAACAGATCAAATAATGCAACTGAATATCTAAATTTTCTTAGAGGGATTATTTTTGTGATATCAAATTTTCAGTCTATCTAAATCATCTATAATTTTTTATTTTCATTTTCTAACTTACAAGGTAGACATGTGCTAACGTTATTCAACCCCCGAAGACAAAGTGGTTTGATCCAAGTAAAGACTCGAGTGCTGATTGGCTATAATGATAATTTTGTCAGGGAAAACTTGTCAATCACAAAGTGGCGAAGTAAGCCACGCCCCCTAGGCCGGTGCTTTATGCATTTTGTTGGTCCACCATGGCGTGGAGAGGTCTAAAACTTTACAGTTCTCCCGCTGTAAGCAGTTTGGGTTGTCTGGCCAGGTTTACAAGGTTGCAGTCTAGCGTGCCTGAACCGGTAGAAGAAGAGGAGACTCGAGAGAATGCACAAAAGGTTTGTAATGTCATAATGGTACCGGCTAAGCTTGAGCACATCGCTGCAGTGCATTTTTTTGCGTACCTTGTCCACATGCCCCCTGGCAATATCGGGTAAAGTTCGCAGGTTGGTTCGACTGTAGTTCCCGTCGCCTTATGCTGTGACGGTAGTTCTTGTGAACTGGTAGTTGGGTGGGACATGACAGTATAGAGGTAGTGCAGCTTGTCTGTTGTACTAACATACTCTAACATACTCGTACACCTAAGTTGTCCTCCTAAACTGTATAGCAGTAGTAGAGTTCACACTGAATCACAGATGTGAAAGATGCCCTCCTGCCAGTCCTAGGGTCATCACTACCTATATCATATACTGTAAGTCATGAAATATTTACAGTCACAGTTATAGCTGTGATTTTTGCCAGTGAACTCATCATATATGCAAGGAGTACATCTACATCTACATCTACATAGCTAATAAATGTAACTTCCTTGACATATGCAAAGCAGCAGCAAATGTGCTATTACTTGGCAGTGTGTCAATACCATACAGATTGTCTTGTTCGAAGTATTTCCAATTTGAATGCCCTGATATCGCTTAGGGCACCTTTAGTCATTAAATGACACCTCAGAAATCATATGTAGAAAATGCTATTACGAACTATCACGCATATGGTAACTCATTACTAACTAGCATGACATAGCCTAGTATACGCCTACTAACCAGGCATTTGTGATCAAAACGTTTTCTCCAGAAATAATTGTACTGTAGTACTACGTAGTAATGTTCTGTAGTGATTATCAGCTTATGAGCATTGTTTTGCACGACATTGATTTTGCGCTCTATACATGTACATTGTACATAGAGGCTGGCATGCACGCCCCCTGTGTTGTCTGCTATAGAGGCCACTCGGGACATACATGGCAGTCATTGCACATACTAGTACCATGTGTTCTAGCTACATGTAGGTTACTGAGCCACAAAGGACCCATAAGTACTAGTAGTAGGGTTATTTAACCTACCAACTTTTTTTAATACTCAATATAGTCTACAGATTTCAACTTTCACCCAAAAAATGTGACCCATCCCCAGTTGCGCCTGTTTCTGTGTAACAGAAAACAAGTTTATAGGCCATCTTAAGGCCAGAGACTGTATTACAACTTTTGTAACATTTCTGTAGTCCAGCAAAACTCACTTGCCCTTAGGATCTAGGACAGCATCTATCACATCTCCTAATACAACCTGTTTGACAAGTTGCCAATATGTTCCAGTGGTCTCATTCAGTGGACTTTGTAATCTCAAGACTTTCATCTAACATGTTGTAACAGTTCTAAAAATACTATTTTTATAGTTGTCAAATGGAAGTTTACTTAATGAATGATGATGATAATTTTCATGAATAATTGAAAATTTTCTTCCTACAGTTATTTCTGCAGAAATTCCTGAAGAAAAAAGCTAAATTTCTGTAGGAATAATATTTTCTGCAGGAATTGTATATACCGATGGCAGTAAAATGTTAACATTATCATGTATTAAATTTTGTTTTACAACTGTAGGCCACACCAATTTCATTACTACTATAGTACCAAGTCTTGTTTCTCAGACTCATTTGAATTTAGTTTTTGTACTGCACTATTTATTGACTATTGTTTCAAATGCAAACATATCTTCCTCTTACTATGAAATTACAGTCTGCAAATTAAACCAATTTGCAGTATCAGTGATGCAGAAATGACAAGAAATAATAAAAATGTCTTTTTATCTACAGGAAACCTCTGTAGCAAGGAGAAAAAAATCTAACTTTGCTGGGGAAGAGATCAGGCCGTTTTCATCCTTCTTGACAGACACTTTTGGCAGGAATCATGATTACCTGAGGATATCGTTAACAGAAAGGTGTAACCTGAGATGTAAGTATTGATTATCATACTTATTACTGATGTATAATTGAAGTACATGTAGGCATATGCATGTTATAGAGGAGAATGTAATTCACAGGTTTAAGTTCACAGTCCTGTGTTAGTGTGACATAGGAATACAGGATTTCTACTTAACCAGTTCACATTCTTTCACTGTTATTTTAGTTGTGACTACATGTACATGTGCACATGTCATTAAACTTTAAAACTTTAAAAAATTTGTACCTCACTAACATGTATTAAAGAAAGTATTTCAGGCCATATATCTAGTGTAGATTGTAGAATAGATTTTTTTAGCCTTCACTGAAGAAATAGCCATGCAGATAATGGAGATCATCATCAGGGAAATGGCCAACGAACTGTGTCCAACTTCAAAAATGAGTTTTGGGTTCATGGAGTTATAAACGATTGTGCGTATTGGAAGAAGAGATGAAAGCCATTCAGAAAGTTCCCGAGCCTGATAATCTATAAATTATCCTTTGAGTAGTTATTTTAGTAAATACTAATAATATAAAGCAGAGTTTCTCTGCAATAAAGTGTAGAAGTGACCACTTTGCATTGAAATTTGAAGTGTAAACTTGGTGTACTGTTAACGTAACTTACAAGTTACTTCACTGAAGGTTTCAGGATTTTCAGTACCCAAAATTCACAAATCTTGAGTCGAAACAAATGTGTGCCACATGGGGCTACAATACATGTGTGGTAATGTGCACTAAGGTTTGCCAAAATATCTTGTTACTTCTGTTTGATGTATAGTCTTGCCCAAAAGACTATTGTAAAGCCAGGATATCATCTGGCATTTGGTGTAATTAAGTGTTTGGCCTTATTATGAGATTATGGCAAGAATATGGCACTAATATCGCTGCTTGAGTTAAAGCCATAACGCATAATTATATGGAGCTACATGTAAAGCTCACACAAGGGCAGTCTATCGCTATGCACTGTTATAACAAATTACATCCATTTGCTGGTTCATTTATGTTAAAAGTTGTATTTTTATCAACTGATCAACTGATAATAAGTATTGGTTTAGTAATTGTGGCACATTTTCAAGTACATTTTTTGTTTAGATTTTTTTTCTCAGATTATGATAAAATTTGGCCATACATTGCATCTCTATAACAGGTCAGTATTGCATGCCAGAAGCGGGTGTGGACTTAACACCGAAGCAAAAACTGCTGTCAACAGAAGAGGTGGTCACTTTAGCCAGGCTGTTCGTATCCCAAGGAGTCAACAAGATTCGACTGACAGGAGGGGAGCCACTGGTCAGGCCAGATGTGGTGGATATAGTTTGTAAGTATATATTGAAACAAAATTCTGTATTACCTGGCAAAATTCTATGTGTATAAGCTTTATGTTTCAGAAAAAAATCTTTTAGTCTTCTGATAAAATTCTGTCACAATAAGTATACAAACAAAATTCTGTAAGTATATACAGACAAAATTCTGTAAGTATGTACAGACAAAATTCTATAATCATTCAGACAAAGTTAAAATTTGTTACAAAAGTATTGAGAAAAAATTCTGTTAATATTCAGACAGTATTCTCAGACTGATAGTTTTCATAGAAGAGTGTTCTGTAGGCAAAGATTGAACAAATTTCATAACTATTTAGACAACCTTGAAATTATGCTGCAATTTCTGTCAGTACCAGCACACTCTAGATAGTGATAACAGAAGGGTACTTATGATGAGGGTGGTTTCAAAACAATTTGCTGGAGCCCTCACGTTTATTGAAAAACTTGTCTTAATACTTTTTCCAGCGGAACTCAATAAGCTGAGGAGCCTTGGACTGGAGACAATCGCCATGACAACAAATGCATTAACACTGAAGAGAAAATTGCCTCAACTTCACAAAGCAGGGCTGAACCTGCTGAACATAAGCCTTGATACCTTAGTGCCTGCCAAGTTTGAGTTCATTACTAGGAGGAAAGGTAAGGCTATTCCATTCAAACTTTTGTCCCCCAGGGCTCGAACTTAACGATGTCCCGATGTCCCCTGGCCACTAAAATTTCGGCCGGGACAACTGAAAAATCACTTTGGGACATTTTTGGGACACTGGAAAAATAACGAACATTCACAATCAGAATGTCAGCCGTTCATACGTTTGTCAGGCGCGCAACCTATTTTTGGGCCTCACCAAAAGCCGCCGAATTCGATATACACTCAGCTGAGCAGCGCGTGTGGCACCCGTGTACGCATGTGGCCACTATTTTGTCGCCCCGCCCATCGCCTTTGATCTATTTGCAGCCCGCCGCCTTGGCGCCACTTTCCCACGCCAGTTCCCAGACATTCTATCCATGTAAACAACATTCAACCAATCACAGCTTCCATCCAATCAAGGCATCTGCCATATATGGCGAACTGTAACTGTTTAATGTTCGGATATTTCCGGAGATGCTCGGGAGATCAGCTGACAATGCCAAATATAGTGAACCGGCAAAGCTCGGGAATGTACGGTGTCTTTCGGTAAACTTCGCCTAGTTTCCCGCGAAATGACGAATGGAATGCCGAAAACAGCCGAAATCAGAAAATTTGAGAGTCATGGCCGGCATGGCACAGAGGAAAATTTCCTCTTTTTTCTCCTCGCCGCGAGCGGCCCCGGCGTCGAATGCAGTCAGTGCTGTCGATCCTCAAAGACGTTCAGGATCATCTCAGTCTGACGGCGTGGTTTCAACAACTGAGTGTCAGCCTCCAGATCGTACGGCCGGTACGAAAGAGGGATGCGCCTACGGAAGGGGGGAGGGGGGCTTTATTCAGCCCGATTGCCGACCAGGGCCTTCAGACGCGGGAAACGCCAATAGCTTGATAGTTGCGCACCAGGGCTTCCATACCCTGGGTGCCAGCCAAGTTTACAGGCCGCTAACCGTTTTTTTCGGCAGCCAGGGTACTTCGCCCGCAGAGGAGTATATCGGCCTTCCAACTTACAATTCACAAATATTTACATTTACTAGACAAAAAGTTTTACATAAGAAAAAAAAAAAACATTTCTTTCCTTCCACTTGTAATGTGCAGGCTACAGCAAGTGTCATTTGTCGGCACAATAAACCAGCCAAGACAAGTTTCAATTTGAGTTGATTTTGTGTTTATTTCAATTGACAATTAACTTACACAGCAATACTGTTCTCTGACTCAGCTTTATTGTTGTTGTAATACATACTTCCTAAAAACCAGTTTGGGACAGTCCATCCTCACTTTGGGACAGTTGGAATTTATTTTTGGGACAGTTCTGGGACAGTAGGGAAAAAAGTTAAGTTCGAGCCCTGTCCCCCCCCCTCTAAATGTAGTATCTGGCTTTCCGTACATTGAATTTTCTCTAATTTGCTTTTAATCTGCTTTCAAATGCGTAACATTGGCATTGCCCTACTAGTATATATCCTGGAAAAGTATAAATAAAGAAGTGAGGGCTCTTATATATAGGTACAGAATACAGACAAAGAAGGCACCAGATATGAAATTATTTTCTAGCCTGACAAGCTGTAATCTTTTAGATCAATTTTCATAACTATCTATTAGACACTTGGTATAAAAGCATCTGCATTGTTTTTAATCCACAAAAACAAATCTGCTGCATTTGCCTTTGCGATGAGGATAAAGCTTAAGTGCATGACATACAGATGGAGATTTCTCAATGGAGCTCATGCTGAGAAAGGGAAATTTTCTCATACTAGTCATAGCATTTGGGAGAATGTTTGTTACTTTTACGCGGCAGGGGATTACAAACCCCAAACAAGTACACAAGATAATCTTAATGTGTCAAAATCATTACCACACAGTGGGGAGTATATTTGCTTCCCAATAAGCTCTGTTGGATGCCAGTTTTTGTTTATGCTGCCAACTTCTCTTTTCTTTCTCTCTCTCTCTATCTGGTTCAACATGAAAAGATAGCTTCTAGCCAACTCATCTGTCAAAACCTTACTTAGCTTGTCAGAAACATGCAGTCATTAGGATGTTGTTGGCTGACAAACAATTTTAAAAAGTTGTGTGTGATCAAAGAGCTTTTTACTCAGTATTGTAAGATAACAATAGCATAATTAAATGACGGTGACATGTATTGATAAAATTTGTGCATGTAAAACAAAGTATGATAAATGCACACATTCAGGAAGATCATAACACTATCAACTGAAAAGACTTTAGAATCACAATGTTGCCCAAAATGTTCAGGCTCCCAACAGGAGCACTTTTCAGGGCACTTTTCAGCAGGGATACAATTCATCCAGATATTTTATGGTGGCAAAATTGCTTTGCATGAATACAAACCAAGTGTTTTACACCCTTGGAGATTGAAACTATAGGTTTACTACTAAGAAGCGAACAGTGGTCCTCATACTTACTGGACTGTGCAACTGCTGATAGAGGGGGAAACCACTTTATGACTTGTTTTGACATTTTCTGCAACAGTCAGGCCATTTTTATTGCTTGATACATACTTGTATGTGAGGTGTTTACAAATTGTCTAAGTCCCAAATACGTAAGTTGAGTTTTGGTATTTTACAGTCTACAGGCATTTACATTTTTGCATGCACCATATTTTCTTCTTGAATTGTGAATAGAACACATTTAAGTATATTTCCTTAGTGATATCATTGGAATATCACTTGAAATAAATCACATATGTTCTTAGTGCTAAACATGGCCACACTGACGCTACTTTCCCTGTCCTGAGTGCTGAACATGCCTATACTGACACAACTGCCCATGTCCTTGGTGCTGAACATGCCCATACTGACACTACTGTCCCTGTCTTTAGTGCTGAACATGCCCACACTAACACTACTGTCCCTGTCCTTGGTGCTGAACATGGCCACACTAACACTACTGTCCCTGTCCTTGGTGCTGAACATGGCCACACTAACACTACTGTCCCTGTCCTTAGTGCTGAACATGCCCACACTAACACTACTGTCCCTGTCCTTGGTACTGAACATGACCACACTAACACTACTGTCCCTGTCCTTGGTGCTGAACATGCCCACACTAACACTACTGTCCCTGTCCTTGGTGCTGAACATGCCTATGCTGTCACTTCTGTCCTTACTTTTTTAAACTTAGAGAAGAAATAAACAAGGTAGAGAAAAGTAACAATACTATGCAGTCAAGTCCCAAACAGTATCAACAAAGCTAATATTGGAGATCAAAAACCACTTAATTCTGTAGTGTGTAATGACTTCATTACACTGAATGTTTAGGTGTATAACAGTGTGAATCACCAATATGTGATAAATCTTTACCATTGTAAAGACACCAGAATGTCCCCATCATATTGCTATTGTGAGAGACCCAACTGCATATGGAACGCAGGGTGTTTGGAATGTTTTATCCACAGCTGCTTCTGGTATATTGAACATTACAATCAATTCAAGAAATTGTGCCTTAATAGTAGGAAGAGACTTTCCGACTCATTTGCAGTACTTCTAACAATCATTGTGATCTTACACACTTACTGCAACTGGTGAAATATGGAAACATTTTATGGTTATGGTGTAACTTACACAAGTTGTACTGCTTTACATGGCTTGAAATTTTTTATTTAATCTAGAACCATCTACATGTTTTGTAAAATTAGAGTACCACAGGATTGAGAGTCTGGTGAAACTATGGAAGAGTGCTGTCCCTGATAATATAATAAATTGGTAGCACACAATGTAAAATGTGCTTGACAGATGATAACCAACATTTTTCAAGACATTGTAATTTGTAGTACCCACTGTGACAATGAAATGCGCTGTGCTCTGGGTGCTATTTAGAATATCCTTTTATTTTATATCAAGTAGCATTGAAAGAAAAATATATATGACCTAGATATCTTGGTTCTGACTAATCTTTACAAGTAGTGTTGAATCATGTTTTTGTTCACTTATATGCATGCTACTAAATACATGTATCTATAAACAACTCCACTCAACACTGACATGGTCGGTTGGCATTGATCAGGCGACTGTAGGCTGCAGTAAGGCCTGTAGGCTGAGCTCTCTCCACTCCAGAGGTGACAAGGTGAATTATTGACAGTTGTACTTTCTTATCTGCCATGTTTATCTGTACTTGCAGGCTGGGAGAAGGTCATGGAAGGCCTGGAAAAGGCCCTGGAACTAGGCTACAATCCAGTTAAGGTGAGTTTCTGGTCTTTCACTTATTGGGGCCAGATTACAACATGAAATTGAATTTTTGAAACAGAGTGTGTCACTGTGCACAATCATGTATTTCAAAGAGGGATTTTAAACATTGTTACAACTTTTAGAAAATTTGCATGACCTTGCACTGTTCATGGTACACTGCATGACAATGACAATACCAATTGTTGGTCCAAGTTGAAAATCATATAAGCTCTCTAAATGTCTGTGTGTTACATTTATTTGTTATCTTGTTTTCTAATTCGTATATAAAATGGTCATGAACACATGGGTATACTATAGGTCAGAAGTTTCAGCTTTCAAGGTTTTGACCTGTGTGATCTTTCTTGCTGTTTCCTTTTATTAGCACTTGCACTTCATGAAAATGTAATTTGTGGAAACACCACAGAAGACGCCCTAATGGCTTATTGATTTTTGTTAGTTTTACCATGGAGACATTTCCTGTGACAGATGTTCATTAATCAGACAGGCGCCACCGAGGGTGACAAATTGGTAGGAGGATGACAGGTTTCTAGCAAAGATGTATCACAGACAGTGATGTTATATGATAGGATGTAACTATGATACCGATCTTAAAAGACTTTTAATTAGAATCAACCCATTATGACATCTTTTTGGGGAAGCAGATCAAATTCTTTAAGACTAGAAACAGGAACCCAATATTTATGTATTTTTGTATATTAACAGATTTCAATGCGTAAAAGAAGATATTCAATAAAGGTGAAAAACAGCTCTGCACTTGGATAACTTCTAAGAGAGGGATACTGATTCTTAAACTACTGCAAAGTAAATCGCAGAATGATGTAGGAATTTAAAACCTTGATTTATGACCCCCAAATCTCATTCCTTTTTTTAGCTTTGATACCATAATAAAAGAAATGAAGTGTCTTAAATGCATTTTGTGTAATATGCCTGTTCAGATTGTGAATCAGTTTTATGTTCTTTACAAATTGTGTCCTGCTGAAATTGCCTTACACGGGCCAGATGTAATCTTGAAGTACCACAAATGTAGTCGCGTTGCTTTACAGGATACGCCCCTATTTCTTCCTGAGAAAATTGTTTCCACTCAATTGTAGTATTGGGGAATAATGTGTTGCACCTTTGAGGTGCAAATTGAATCTCTGGTACACAGGACTGGATATTACATGTTATCCCATTTTAGGTGTGGAAATATGGTAGAAGGTCAAGGGGACACAAAGCCAGAATGTTGAAGAATTTCAATTTTGAGAAAAGGTGTACAGTGTACATCCTAGCATATAGAGTCAAATATAGAAGCACTCTAGCCTTTAGCCATCACACAAGTATGTAGAAAATGTGCCACCTTCCTGTACACTTGCCTCAAACACATTGTATATTACCTCAGTGTACAATTTTACATGTGCTTTATAATTATAAATTACATGTAACACGTTACCCGTATGTCAGAAAATGCCAGATGTTCAGCTATAATTGAATTGTTGCCAGTTTGCACATGAAACTTCATGATTGTTTAACTTAACAGGATTTTGGTTCCTCCTTGGCTGAATGAGTTTAATCTTGTGGTCACTAGATGTGGGTCCAATTATTTTTGTAAGAAAACCATTACACCTTAAACCTGGCAGCCAGCTTGAAAACTAATATAGCTCTTCATTTCGTGCAACACATTACTGCAATAAACTATGGCAGTTTGACAATCAGTGTACATTAAAATACTACAAATATGGTCGTCCCTAGGCCATAGTACACTTCTTAATAGGGCTGTAGTTAGGTGCACTACTTCCAGAAATTAAACAAGTTTTCAGTGATATTGTGTATAGTCAGTGCAAAATTACTCATGAGTCCTTGAAATTGTTGTCGTCAAACAGTGTCAGGAAATCTGTGACTCAAGGTGATTGAGTAGCCAATGGTTCAACAATCAGCAGCACTCCGAGGAACCCACTCAGTCAAGCAGAAAATTAACAGAGAATGCCAGGATGTCAGGAGAGAAACTGCTATAGGAGGGATTCAGAATATTGACTTTGTGCCAAATTTGTACTTTGTCAGAACTTACTTACTAGAAACTTTTAGTCAAAGGAGCATAGAAAAATTGTGGGTGCAAAAATTTGAGTTGACTTGTTTTTCCAGAAAGATTTGTGAAAACTTCAAAGTGATGTAATTATAGAGAGAGCCAAGTCTTTGTATAGTTGATGGATATTCAATTATATATAATTATGTACTTTCCTGGTCCTATAGGCGATAGAGCATAAAGAAGTTTTACACGTATCAGTTCTATTGCTGATACAATCTTTGTAGCCATGTGATACTTCCAGTGTGACCATTTACGGTTAGCCCAGCATTTGTCAGGCCTTACAAATGTACTTCCCTCAATTTGCCAACCACATCATTTTCAGCCACCCTACCACTGCAAGGAATCAAATTGCTCGGAACGTGCTATGCTCAGCTGTTACAGTCATGCCTCATGGCTTTATCATTGTATGTAGATGTAAAAGTCATGCACAGAATATTGAAAATGGCCTTTGCCAGTACAGCCATATGGTAATAAATTTGATTTACAAAGAATCACGTCTTTAATGGAAATCCATTTCCAATTCTGTAGATGTGACGCTGTGACAGATCGTTTATCCAGAAAAGTTCAAAACTTGCAATACGAGCAGAGAATCAGATGACAACTGAAAAAAATCTAATACTTGATATTTATTCAGACCCACAAAGGTCACTGCAATGTCATGGAATGTTGAGTTTTGCCACCCAACTCAGTAAGTCTAGGCTAGAAATAACACATGAACCGGCAGTGATTTGGCGTGGTGAAGAATCAGAAAATCCATTTGATTGTATCAAGCGCAATGCAGTGTAAGGCATCCCAGTGCCGGAGATACATCAATACAGATTACTAGTTAAAAGGTTTTGGGAAACGTATCGAGGAATGACAGTGACAGTGTATCATTACACACGATGCTTGAGTGGTAGTCGATGAAAGCAATCTGTCGAGTGCAATGCAGAACCCCCAGCAATCAAGTTGTTCTGGGTAGTGGTTTTGCACGCTAATTAACTTACTGCAATGCTCATTTTCCCTCCCCAGCTCAATTGCGTGGTGATGAGGGGGGTGAATGAAGAAGAAATATGTGACTTTGTAGCAATGACAGAGAAGAAGGTAAGGTCACACATTTCATTATCACTGTGTTTGAAGGTCCTGAACTGAATATAGGTAATACTGGTACAGATGGATTTGTGTAATTAAGGCTAGGGTATTGCAGTGAATCATCTTGTAAATTTCGCCATTTATTGTAATGACTTAGGATTTTGGATAAACTTTTAAGCAAGTAACTTGCTAATACATTGACTGCAAATAGGATCACATAAAACACCCACTTTGATCATGATGATAAAGTAAGTACAGATTAATTAATGATGATACTTACACTACCGGTATAAAAGCTTTAGTTTAACAGTGGCAAATTTTAGCACACAGATCGGTATGTTATTATATGTCCATATTACAGTGCTTCAAATAATGTCAAAGTTGGTGCCTGCTGAAGGGCAAAGGATAAGTAGTCATGTGAACAGCATATTTATAGTATATGTCCTAAAGGATAAATGCAAAGGGTTATTGTGTTAAGCTCATAAGTAAGATACATCGTTATTGGTTGAAAACACTTAAAATTCATGAATTCTGTGGGTAAAGGCCAGATTTTCCCATTCTGCTTTAGAAAGAACCAAGAACAAGTTGAAAAGTGTCTTTAGTTAAAGTATTTGGTCTCAGTCCATCATAAGTAATGGTCCCCGAGCACTTTGTGATGTACAAATCACATGTACAGGGTTTTCAGCACCAAGGACAGATGCCTTCCTCAGCTTGCACATTGATTCTCTTTGAAAAACGGGTCGACCATAAAAGGTCATATACATTCACGTAGTGAAATATGTTCGGGGCAAATTTTTGTTGCCATTCAAATTTTGGTTGAGCTATTACTTGTCAGAATGCTTGGCTGGCATGACCATACACAGATCATTACCTACGCAGTCCGGGGTATTTGGTTCCATGCAAAATGGATGATCGCTCCTAGTAACCCTAAAGCAAGTATTTCATGTAAATTGGTTTGCCACAGTTACAGAGTTCTGCAAGCATTTTGGTGACTAGTTGCTGCGTCACTCGTAGTCACTTTTTCGTGCGTGATGTTAATTTCAGTCATTGAGACTGCATAGGTTTCATCACATAGCATTTGTTGTTGTGTGGTCATTGCTGTCATATTCCTTCCTTTTGTATGATTTTTGAAAATTCAGCTCTGAACAAATGTCTGAATTAGAGCTGGTTTAGTTTTCCATGCAATGTAAAATGAACTTCTTGCTTTGAATTAAAAGCTAGTCAATGATGAAAGACAGCAAAAAAACTTTACATTCTAGTTTGGGTTGTACATTTTGTTTTGTTCATACATATATCCGGAGGTCCTTTGCAGATAAAGCAATTCATATTCAATTTGTATAACTGAGACCATTAATATTGATTCATATGATGAGCAAGGAGTCATATTTCATGAAAGGGCTTGGCATGCATGATTGTTTGAAATAAAGTCAGTGCAGTTATCCATTGCCATATATCATTCAATCTGCTGTCAATTCAGATTCATACAATGAAATTGAAGTCATATAGGCAAGCATATTTTTGTGGAACCTTATGTTTCTAAAACTTTAGAGGTTATTATGTAACCATTATTTTATAGGGTTGATTTTCCTTGCACAATATGGAATAACGTACATGTAAAAATAGCAGCTGCAAATGGCAAATGCAGGTATACTAAGCATGTATCAAGATGGGTTCAAATTCATGAGTGTTTTCAACAGTAATCAAGATGCATAACAGATGATTTTATTACAACAGAAACAGATGAATTTTATTACAACAAAGGCAGATTCTCAACAGAAAAAAAGGAACTATACAGTACAAATTATGTTGATTTGATCACACAAACTTCACACAGCCGGGTCGTTGCATACAGATGTATAATTCTAGCGTCATGGCATGCACAGAATTAACGTCATGAAAGACGATCAGAGTTTCCAGACGAACCATCTGCACTGGGACGCGGCGTACAATAAATCACACGGTAGCCCCTGGAAGTCTGCCAGGTCTTTTTGGAACTCCCAACAGCTGTCCTGTAACCACCAGTCTCCACTAGACGCCCCGGGTGCAGGATATGATAGAATACAGGGATTGAAGCAATTAATTCTGCAGGCAACATGCATGTGTCAGCTGTAAATTGAATATAGTACAACTTGTACATGACATTATATAACTGAATGGTATTGTCACACAGTGTTATTTCAAAGTGAAGAAAGAATCAAATTTTGATATTTCTTGTACCTTATTTTGCCAAAAGTAAGCAAACATATCACTATCTACTGGCTGGTCTTAAAATCAATGAATTTACACATTCATACATCACTGTCAAGCCCATGTATTAGTCAGTAAATTGTTGCTTTTGTAAAGTTAATGTGATGGGCCTGACCCAGGTGACCTTGAACTACACGTAATTCACAGCACCAGGCCGTCAGGATCGATAACGCTTTTCGGCTGCATTGATTTTGCACAAATTTTCTCTCACCACATTTGACCTTGTCTGTGGGTACTATAATATTGTACTTTCCCGGTCCAAGAACAAAATTGTGAGTCATATGACATTAGTTCACAGTGTGTCAGACTCTGTAATCTTGAGAGTCAATGGCAGATGGTGGATTTTGCTTAATTACCAAGTGGTGTGTCGCTAAGATCATTGTAATTCCCAGCCCAAATTGGGTTTGTTCCAGGGGTATGATAAGCTTTTAGTAGCTACGTAAACAACTGTGTGGAGACACAGTCCCTGAAACACCCTGTAGTATCTCACAACCTACTGTGAATTGAAACTGAAGTGATGTTCATGTATCATACGTACAATGATGTATGTTCATTTTCTGCAAACATGTAGGCTATCATCAAGATACAAGGTCATACCTTATTAATTGATTGTAGAAAGCCTTTTGATCAACTTCACAGAAAGAGTATTTTCTGACAACTTTTAGCTTAAGGGTAGTTGACATAAAATGTTTTCCTGGCTCGTTTTATGGCTGCTGACTTTGAATGACCTTAGATTTTTCCCGACATTCCAGCGACCTTGTGCAGATTGTTTGTAGCACTATGACCCCACCTCCTAATGCACCAAGGGTATGCATTACTTACTTTCTAAAATCAGTGGGATGTTAACGCAATATGGGTTCATTCATGATTCCCCTATTAATCATTCATATCATTTTTCTTCTGTTGTTATACCTTACAGGCTCTGGATGTGAGGTTTATAGAGTACATGCCGTTTGATGGTAAGTATTTTTTTAAATCTAGTCAATACATGTGTAATTGGGGGCTATCCATTGACTACTTGGAAGATTTTTCCCCTCCTTTTAGGTTCCACATCAATCTTCTTCTTCAAGTTTTGTTTTTCTTCCCTGTCACTTACATAAGTGCATGATTCTCATGTGCGGCAGTTTTTGTTCAGAACATCTGCTGGGATGACATGTTTTTGATAACCTTTATATTGTTTCTGGATTCTACTGGCTTCCATAGATTTCCTGTCACCTTTTTACAAAATTAACTCAAGCCATTAGACTTTTCCAAAAGAAATATTTTGTATGTAAGTTAGGAGATGTATGATTGTATACAATCCAGAAGTTCCAGAACGTGTTGACATTCTACTGGTGCCCACATCTTTTCCCCTTGTACCTGTAATTAGTTAGCAGGGGATGGCCTTTCCTTTTATGTTTAATGCACACGTGGGCTGAGAGACTGTCATTAGACTCTTTGGTTATTGGCTTCAGGTCTATTACAGAATTAGACAGTACTGGTCTCAATTAGTACGTCATGTAGTTGCTGCTGGTTACATGACCTGGTAGATCTGGGATCTTGCAAAATTCAGGGAGAACCTTTTGGAAGTCGTGTTCTGAATTGCCTACTTGCATGCATACCTATTATGAACGGGAACTGGGAAATCCAAATGATAGAAATTTTGAATAAGTAGCAACGTGGGGCAGGGATAAAGCTGTAGTGGAAAATAGATGTAACAAATGATTACACAATAGTTTACACAATAATTGTCAAACTGTAGTTTTATTTTAATGTGCAACAAAAAGCTGCTGCTAGTTTTCTACCACAACCAACCGCCCCCACCCTAAATAGGATTAAGGTCCCTAACATTATTTATTTATGAGTGGGTAACAGTTCTGAAATTTGGTGCATGACACCCCTAGACCATGAATCATTAAATGCTTCGTTAGGCACAGATCAAGTAATGTATCCATGATTACATGAAGGCATTGATTTTAGCTTGTTGTAAAAGTTACACAGAATAGAATTTTATAAATTTCATATCTTGCAAAGACTATCATTTGTCAATGATTACTTTTCCAACATGCCAATGTGTTTGTGAATACTTAATATATAATTTATCATTTCAAATCCATCTGCTGTGTGAATTTGTACGAAGAAAAAAAGAACAAAACCTCCATCTGATTAATAATATCTTCTTTTTAGGTGTGAGACAAGTGAAAGAGCTCATCTTGCATGAATTGTACCAGTCCTAATCTACTGTATACCCTAGAGGGTCTGTTTTATACAATGTAACATGAGACACACATGAGACACAGTGACTATTCCTGAATTCCCCTATTCCTAAGCAGTTCATCATACAATATGCATCTCTGCTGTCATATTAATAATAATAATAATTCACATCATATCAACCAAATTACATTCTTTTATTCATTCGCCTTGACACTCCAAAGGTCAGGATGCAAGACCCAACGTCATATTTTAATCAAAATATTTCTATTCCCTGGGGACATATCAAACATGTCTCAATCCTCTATATAACTATTCCATCTACAATTTGCAACTTATATATGGATGCAGAGGTATACCTTTCTGTGAACTGAAAAAGAAGGGGTGCTCCCAATTACACCCTAAAACTGACCCTTTTGACATCAAGGTCTACCAGGAATTGCTTATGACTGTGAGTTATAGCTCTGAAATAACCTTGATGTTGCCATACTGTTGTCAGAACAGAAAAAGGTACACTGGTGGCCATATGTGTAAGCAATTGAGTTGTTAAAGACCAGATCAACTTGACATTGTTTTTCTTCTCCCTTAAAAAGTTATACATCGAACGATTTAAATTATGTTGTTAACTCAAACAAAACTTTAAGAGTGATTTTAGACTGCAACAAATTTAAAGCCACTGTGCAATTTTGTTGATAAGCATGTGCACAAGCTAGTCTCCCATGCTGTAGACTTGGCAATCAGTGATCAAGTCACTTGACTGAGTCAGTATTCATTGGTTGAAATTCTAATCATCAGTAAATGGGAAAGGAGTCAATAAATGTTGTAAACCAGAAACAGCAACAAAACAGACAGCTAGACTGCAGCCTTATACTATCAGGATATACCCTGAACCCAAATGCAGTCATCAGGAGCAATCTCCATAAAATATATCTGAAATGTACAAAACATGATTGTCAATATACTATATGTCTTTTAAAAACAGTCTTTCATGTGTTCTACAGTTTGCTACACCACATAAATCTCTTAATCCATGCATTAGTTGTAGTGGACATCAATTGACAACTACATTACTTGTTATTGAGCTGTAACAGTTGTGACTTGCATCATTCTGATCAAGTCGATTCTGTTGAACAAAAACTGTGGAAGAGACTTTTATGCACTGATAATTTAAAACATAGTTGAAGTATGCGCACCTGGTTCTCTTCCTTCTGCAGGTAACAAGTGGAACCACAACAAGATGGTGACCTACCAGGAGATGTTAGACACCATCCGTCAGAGGTGGCCTGACCTGGAGAAAATGAGAGATGGACCCAATGACACCTCCAAGGTACAGTTAAAAGCATCATCCTTCAGTGTCAGTTTCTATTTAGTTCAGACAATCTAATAGTGTATGTTCAGGTTAGTATTAAAGAACTGTTGAAACTGTTATGACAAACATTTTTCTCTCCACTTTTTCTTCCCCAGGCCTACAGAGTGCCAGGTTTCCGTGGCCAGATGGGTTTTGTGACGTCCATGTCTGAACACTTTTGTGGGTCCTGCAACAGACTCAGGATAACTGCTGATGGAAATCTTAAGGTACAGGCTCTGCATATCAAAACGATTTATCATATGCTGGCCATCTGGCCATACATGTAACAACCGCTTTTTCTCGGTCTCGATTTTTGTCCTCATAGATGTAAGCATTAAGAGAGTTGCTTAAGCCACAATCTTGTCCAAAGCAACCATGACCAGCAATATTTTGGCCCTTGTTATTTTTTGCATTTGATGATGACTAGCAAGAAAGCCATTGATTTCGATAACATGACAGTCTGTGCTCAATGTAAAATGGCACCGGATGGGTCTACGGAACAGTCTATTGTAGAATTGGTTTAAATTTGCTGCAGCTTTCTTGTTTTCTGTTTTGACATGCTTTTGTATAAGAAGACCACTTGTCTAAGTGTAGTCGTTTTAGACAGGTTTGACAGTATATTTTCTAAGTGACTTCTGTAAATCTGTAAATTGTGCATTCTGTAATCAGGATGGAACATGAGGCACTGTGAGAAACCTATTCTTGTTATATCATAATAGTTACTGTGTTCACACCGTTTCACCTAGATGTATTCCTCCACAGGTGTGCCTGTTTGGGAATTCAGAGGTATCCCTTCGAGATACCTTAAGAGCCCGTACCTCAGAGGAGGAGCTTCTTAAGATCATAGGAGCAGCAGTAGGGAGGAAAAAGAAACAGCACGCAGGTAAAATACTTCCCATGGTGCAGTGCAGTTTGTCTTTTGTGACCTTTTGACCTATTGAAGTGGTACAAGATCATCATTACACCTCTAGAGGTTTGTAAACTGGCGTAAGCAAGCCTAAAGCCAGAATGACTAGGAGATCACTAAAAGTATTCCATAAATTCTCTTGAATCCAGTAGGAATCCTCAGTGTGAAAAAAGATGCCTACCAGGAAGATCACCACCTATTAGTTATAATTTATCTGTATGTCAATTTGGACCACTTCGATATCTGATATTGGTGAAGATATTGATGCTATTGCATGCTGCCTTTCTTTATTTTGTACTGGCACCCACAACCATTAATTCTGGAGGTTGACTCAGACAAACATATACATGTATAATACACATGACAAATTTGTGCCAACAGGGAAAAAATCAATCTGTTGGCAGCTCATTAAGCTCCTGGACCTGTACTTTTACACAATCTGAAAACTCATCAAGCATTCTAGACTTGCAGTTTGCCAATGAAAGAAAGTTTTATGTTGTGTAGGTATACTATAGTACTTGAGGGCAAACGATCTTCCCTCGTGGCTCAAAAGGTGAAGCGAAGTCAAGACTTTATGTTTCTAATGGATGACTTCTCATAGGGCAGAAGACAGGCCTATCTTTATTTGTCTCCAGTCTGCTGTGATCATTATAGCCAACTTTATCATTTCGTAAAGGCCACATTAGTATCTTTTAATGTTTCCTTGAATCTCATGGACATTTTGCTAATTTTATCAAAGTCCTTTTAGATTTTATGGAACTGATGCAAAGAAAATAGAATTATGATATCTAAGCTGTAGAGTTATATGTAGCAGGATCCTTTCAATTCTAACAGACAATGCAGCTTTGAATAGACTGACTACCTTGAAAATTTTAACTTCTTTAGCTCTTAAGGTTGTATGTTGTTGGTTTTTGCTCCTTGTTTCCTTATGACGATGCCCTTGACAGTAGATAGATTAAATCTAATGTCTTCAAAGTCAAAATTTTCTGAAACAGTTATGTAAGACCAGGTATCATCATCAATGGTATCAAGGTATATGATATTTAAACCCAGAGCTCACTTGACAAAAAAAATGTTGGAACCATATCTAGCTTTTTTCATCCAGAAAAGAGAAACAAAGCCTGATTACCTCAGGATAAACAGGCTAGCATGTGGCAGTATGGGTAATAGAGCGTAGGAAGTAATCAGTCCACTGACATTCATTATAGGAGTTAATGTCATACTTATCAGACCCCAGGGACCTGATGAAAGATGTGGTCAGGGTTTCTACATCCTTCAACATTACATAGGGTTTGTCTAATGTATGGAACAGAGTCAGCAATTCTTTAAGGGTAAGGAGTGAGGGTGGTGCACTTCTTTGTTTTTGAATTTGCAAGTATTTTTCACTCCAAACAAGCTGGATATGCCATATGATATGGTAATTGAATTTTTCTCTAGTTAGAAAAAATATTAGGGATTGAAATAGATACTAGACTAAGTGTTACCAGGGTAAACTGAAAAGAAAAAAGAATTCTAAACATCTTCATGTTATGATAATTTCATCCTTGCCTCCAACCTTCCTTCCATCCTTTATTATTGCCTCCATTCCTTCCTTCCTTTCACCCTATTAAATCACTACGGTAGGTACTTACCCCTCAGCTGCCAGCATTCACTTTACTGTTTGAACATTCTTCATATACATGACATAAAGCAAGCTCAAGATATGACCTTAAGGAAAAAAAACAAGATACTTCTCTACAGTCAGCTCTTTTGAATAGAGGGTTACCACGTAGAGCGCAACAAGTAATGAAGGAAAAGATTAACGTGGTGTTAGTCCAAATAAACACTTTCTAACGGTGCCCCCATTGTGAAAACCTTTTTATTGAAGGAAGTATGATTGATGCAATGTCACGCTGTTACTTCCAGCTAAATGCCAAGTGTTCCTCAGGGTGTAATAGCGCATATGTGTCCTTCATCCACTTACCGGTGGTGAAAAATGAAAGACTGACACTGAAGGTCATACATAAAATCCTCCCTTTCACTCAGTCTAAAGTGGGGAACGTAAAGGTTGAACAGAACCTTTTACTTCCAGTCACACCTTTTGTATCATGTGGTTGCCGATTCTATACTGAAATGAGTAGGAAATACAGACTTGGTAGCCCCGTGTTCTTTAAGATGACTGTAATTATCTATGTTGTTTCTAACGTTCAGCTCTTTTGGAAATGATAGTTTCTTTGCTTTCTGAAGAAGTACATGTTGCATACCTCAGGTAATGATGTGCCTCAAAGGATGAATGTAATTATGGCTTTACTAGTGACAAAACTGATGCGCAAAAATTCACTGTAAGTTTTAATTGGCACAAGGTTAAATGTATCTATAATTAGTTCAACCAAAAGCTGATTTTCAGTTTTAAAAAAACTCTTCTTCCATTTGATATTCCTTTAATTGCAGGGATGTTCAACATTGCAAAGATGAAGAATAGGCCCATGATTCTCATTGGTGGGTGAGTGTTATTTTTTTATGTTCTTTTTTTTTATTTCTAACACAATTCACAGACAGTCTGTAATTAAGAGGTAAAATGTACATTGTAAGTGTTGTCATTTTTTGTTAAACTTAAAAGCTGATAGCTGTCAAAATTAATTCATTCATATGCATGGCAATAAATTTCTACATGAAACGGTTGAGAAAAATATCTGTTTTACCATATTCACTGAGCAGTTATGTGGCAGCTTACATGTCAAAAATGCTTGCCCATTTCCATGTAATTGATAGATTAGTTAATACCTATAACTATTTCATACTCCCAGTGGTATCACCCAGCTTAAATCATACCAAGTTGGTAATTCTATAGAATGTGCAGAACATCTGTGTTATAAAATCCCCTAATCCTATAAACAGTCACACAGTACAACTCGGAATGAGTTGCATTTTGTAAGATTAAGGGTTCACTGCGCAATTTATACTCTGATTTCCTGGAAAGGAAAATTACAGAATTCGAAGAAATTCATCATTTTAATGAAAGATAAAGGAATTTGGTACCACTTATGATAACATATTTCCCTGAAAAACATTCTGCAAAAAAAGCTTGCTGACTCTAAGTCTAAGTCATCAAAAAACAGTGACAGGTTTAGAGGTGAATGCTCAGTCCACTATCTGGTGTTGGCCATATAAAATCTTTAATACGTAACTGTCCAATGAAGTTAAGTCCATTAACACTCTTTGACTTGTAGCAGTAGTTGATACACACTCTAATCACCAATTAGAAGTCCTTTCTGACCTATATCATAAACAGAGCATGCAAAAAATGAATTTCTTAAATGTGCTATATAAATGGAGTGTGTGACAGGAATGTTAGTCATAATGCCACTTAGATTCATTGACAAATTTTCTCATTCTTAACACAAGCCTAGAGACCAGCTCTTCCATGTCCAGAGAACTGATTCACCTTTTTGAGCTTAACTTTTTTATGTGTTTTAACAATTCACCGGTAGCTGCCTTTAGGGCCTCATCATCCGCAGCGTCTGGACATTATTAGTTTCCAGCAGGCCGGGTTGATTATCCATGTGTGTGTGGAAATTACCCTGCCGAGATTAGTCACGTAATGAGTTTGGCACGGCTGGGAGATACATTGTATGTCCAGCAGGGCAATGTGTTCATATCCACACAGTGATTCAAAACAGGAGCTGTAATGACTTGGTAATGATACTACAAAATTTCAAAGTCAAATTTTCCTCAAGGTAGCAAACTCTTCTCTCACTATAAAAGTTATTTAAATTAACATGTTTTTGTTGTAGATGGCTTGTTTCTTATACACAATGGACAAAAATGTAATCATTGTTCATTGTGAAGAATTGAGGTTGATACAGGTACAAACACATTCCTAAACTTCATTGAAATAAAGGCTCTCTGACAACTTTGACATAATTCTCATACTGCTACAAGCAGAAATGGATCCTTCCTTATCTCCTCCCTCTTTATGTGTATGTTGTGAATGCCTGCAATTTCACTGACTTTCTCCCTTTCTCATTGTAATTTTGCACAGATAGTCATCAGGACGTCATCAGTCATGAAGGGAAAATCCATACCAAGAGTAATTTTGAAGAAGAGCACAATTTAATCTCACACAGCAATGGGTTACAGTGGGTCACGGCCAAGACAAAAGGATCTGGTTGCTTTTTGCCAAACACAATTTTCCACCTTTACATCCAGGGTAGATCTACATGTAGAGTAAAGGGCTTTTTAGAAAGGGCATTAGGAGGACGAAATTGTTGGCTGCAGCAATTCTATAGCACCTCCATTCATGGTGCATGCAGGTTGGACAGCTCTTGCATTGTAGATTTGCAGAATAACAAACATCAAACAAGAAGTGAAAGAAAGTTCTCTGGTAGTGATGGTACTGCAGAAAATGGAGATGTCCCTGCTGTCGGTGGGTCCCGTGAGGCTCATCTGACACATACAGACGAAACAGGAGCGGCAAAGATGGTGGATGTTGGACACAAAGATAACACACGACGGACGGCCTCGGCAGCTGCAGCGGTGATGTTGAGTGCTGATGTCTTTGCCTTGGTGAAGGACAACAAGATGAAGAAGGGTGACGTACTAACAGTTGCACAGCTCGCTGGCATCATGGCTGCTAAAAACACCAGTAATCTCATCCCCTTGTGCCACAACATCCCCATCAGTAAAGTGGATGTCCAGCTGCGTCTGGATCCTTCCCAGCATGCAGTTCACATTGTGTCAGAGGTCAGCACCACGGGAAAGACGGGGGTTGAGATGGAGGCACTAACGGCAGCGGCCGTGGCAGCACTAACGGTGTATGACATGTGCAAAGCAGTCACACATGACATCAACATAGACAACATCCACCTAGTTAGCAAAACTGGAGGTCAGAGGGGTGACTTTCACAAGTCATGATCAAATCAATTTTTCACATCTACATTTTACCATCTATCAATATTGATTTGTCATACATGTACTAGTATTCTCTTGTCCTTCACAACCCTTTTTTTCATTATTGGTATTGACATTGATGAATTACAGATTAGACAGTTTCGGCCAAGCTTGCCATGTGAACCACTGTCTACAAATCACTCAGTATATAAAACTCAGTTACTTGGTAAATCCTTTCAAAATTCTGTGCATTATCAAATGTCAATGTTTTTGCAGTAAATACAGAGTGATGTTTACCCGGAATAATGTGATGCTTAAATCATATGATTTTTAAAAAACCTGTTGGTAGTTATTGGATATCTATACGTGTACACAATGTAGTACACATTATTGTCAGACTGGCTGTGAGTTATACTGAATTCTTTGAATGTGCTACATGTACATTGTATTTCTGTATATTTTTGTGATCGATTATATGACATGGTGTTTTAACCATGATGTGTACCATGCTATGAATGTCATTTAACTTCATTGGTATATATCGGCTTTCAACTACATTGTATCATAAAATGAGTAACACTTATTTTTGTCATGGGTCATTTAATATGCAATTATTGTGTAGCACCTGCTTTGAAAAACATACACATAAATCTTTTGGGAAAAAGAAATGTAAACTTAAGGTATACTCAATTTTAATAGGTAGATTGACTTATTGAATGCATGGTGTTTTCTAATCTATTCTAATTCTAATTTTTTAAAGATATCTGCTACCTACATTTGACTTAAATATGGTTCCATTTTATGCCTTGACAAAGTAGGTACAATTGAGGCCTTACATAAAAATCACATAATATAGAATTTGTGTCATTGAGGTGGTAGATTTGATATATATGCAGCATATATTCCATGTTACTGAATAATTGTGTGTTACTAAAGATCTTTTGTAGTAGGAAGGAAAGTTTATCATTTTCACTAGTACATGTAATACATTTAATTTATGAAGATGATGGAAGGAACAAAGGGAAATCTACAGACTAAGGGAAAAGCTTTCTTTTTTTCACAAGTGTACGGTAGGGTATAATAAATCGATTGCACTTGTATCTGTATAGCTGGCATAGCAGCTATTGTTCATAAGTATGATTCCAAAGTTATTGATAAATACATAAAGTAAGTGTATGTATAATTTATGTATAATGGTCATGTAGATTATGTATAGGGCAGACACTACAATTGCGTTGTGCAGTAGAGGCCCCAAAATGGGAACACAATTGTAGTTCCTAGTTAATATCTTTGAAAATCTTTTTTTGGTCCAGCTTGGAGATTTTGGGGCTAGAAGGAACAGGTAGGGTCTAAACTTCAAATTTTGTTCATTTCACCAGTTAAGTGGGCATAATAAAAACTAAGAGACCTGAATAATGAGGTCTTGCCTACCCAGGGTGGATGGATACATGAGAAAATTAGGTCAAAAGTAGGGTTTGTTCAACGTTGTCAGCTGTTGTAAGAGTTTGAGCTGATCAACCCCCTATTTTCTTTCTATATTTGGGAAACTTGTGGCTCTCTGGTGCAGAAGAATTTTTGAGATTGAAATGTGAGAAAGTACTTTCAAGGGGACTTGTTTCAGTGTATTGACCATAGGTTCCTATGGCCAAAGGTAATTGTACTGTCAGCCCTATAATTATGTATAATGGTCAAAGGGTTATGTATAATTATGTATAATGGTTCAAAAGGTTATGTATGATTATGTGTAATGCCAAAATTGTTATGCATAATTAAATATAAGTATAGTATGATTATGTATAATTGGACTACTATATTCCCAGCAAGGGACTACATGTATATGCTTTCCGCATATCCATTACCATTTGTTATGTCACCATAAGAAGTATAAAGACAGTTGGGTTAAGCGTTTGGGATTTATGGGCGGGAGTCGAGAATTAAAATTTTTTTTAAAATTATTTGGCGGCTTGGTCATTATTTACTTCCCGCTTGTAGTCAGATATACAGGATTGGAGGATGAGGTGCGTAGGTTTAGGCTTAATCATAACCTTCCTCAACTCTTCCCCTACCCCACTCTTACCCTTCCTCAACTCTTCCCCCTACCCCACTCTTAACCCTTCCTCAACTCCCCCACTCTTACCCTTCCTCAACTCTTCTCCCTACCCCACTCATACATATGTACTCGTTATCGATGGGCAGGCAAATCTTTTGCAGCTGAATCTCTGATTTTGTAAGATTCAAAATATAATTGTGTTCACAGGTGGTCACATTTCGATATGAATTGAAACTAAAAACTTGTTCTCTCTTCATCTATTTAGAAGAAACGTGAATAATGACAGCCATTATTCTTTTGTGTGCAAAAAGCCAAAATTCGTTCAAAATGGTGCCTTTTACATGCATAGCAACAAAGGCCTTTCCTGCTCGGTCCGAAGGCAAAATCAATTCCGTAGGGAATACATTCGTCGTGCATTTTTTTAAATTCAAAGCCATCGTAGTACAAATGCTTCCGCCCCTCAGGCGTTACCAAAAACAGTGCAAACTTGGTATCATTGGAAAGCTCTGGAGATGTAAACTGAAATCCGTTTTTTTGTCATCTTGTTTCGTTGAAGAGTTATTAACTCCTCTGGCGCCTCAACCCTAACCCTTCCGTGCTAATTCATCATCACCGGCAAAAATACGTCTTCACCCCCACGACTTTCCAGAATGGAGAAGTCCAGTTACGAGTTAGTAAAGATGGCGGCTCGCAGTGGTCGGAGGGGAGGTAGCTTTCACGGAGGTACGTAACGTTGAGTTTCTCTGCTGTCGTCTTTACAAAGTAGTCCCACTATATTAAAGCTCCTTGATCGTCCTGATTAATTGGAAAACCAACCAAGGAAAATGGGGAGCAGGGGTGCATTGTCGTGGCGACTATGGGAGGGAGTCTGTTTATGATGGCAGAACACAGTTTTCGTCCTATCTCGATCTCTCGGCTTGCCTTGGTTATTAAACAAAAAGATTAACGTAATAACTTATGGAGATGTTTCCTCCGAAAGCTCATTGGTTCGACGCTGTAAAATTTAGAGTAGGGTGTGAACGTGTGCTCAAGCAAGTTACAAAAAATATAATAGTTTGGGTTCAGACATGGTACGGTACAACCTGAAAATGTGTGAAAATGAGGCCAAGTTTGCCTGCTCCTACTTAAAAGTAAGACCTTTTAATGTAAAACCTCTTTTTTATAGCGCTCATCGGGGGTCATGTGAACAGCAGCCAACACGTAGGAGGCCGTAACAGGATCCTGCCTGGCCATCCGCCATATTAGAGTTACAGGTCGTACCGGGGTAACTGGTGGATACACAACTCTTTTTTTTTTTTGCCTAACTACTTGATGGTATTTGCAGGATACCACAAACGCAACTCTGGAAAGGGCGAAGGAAGCCACCAGAAAATCTTGCGCCGGGAACCAAAGGTAGACGAAAATTCCCCCATCGTAGCCTCCTTCCGCACCTACCAATCCCTGATGGACAGGAAGAACGATAAGTTTGAACGATTGGTGAAGATCAGCAGAGATGTGACAATACAGAGCAAGAGAGCCATTTTTCACATCCACAGGATCAACAGGTGAATTTACAGGTTGGTCTGCATCTTCAGACTGACCCTCAATGCTGTTGTTGTTTTGCAGTATTATACAGTATGAAGGATAAGGCTTTGTCTTGTTTTGACCTTTGATTTCATGTCGATGAGAGATGACATGGAGGACTGTAAGGTGTGGGTTGTTTATTGCAGCGGCGTTGACAAGACCACAGTTTTAGGAGAGGCAGATGAAAAGCTGATCGCCGTACGAGAGAAGTTGTGTCAGATTGCCTTGGAGCTGCAGGGAGAAGATCTGTACCAGTACATCAGGGCCTTCTCACCTGGACTACAGGTAATTAATTACTGTACTAGTACAAGAGTTTTTGTTGTGTTTTAAAGTCTCCAACAAAATCGTCCCCTACAGTTTAAAAAAAAAAGCTGCAAGGGGGCCCAGACCTCTATAGCTACCTGAGTCTCTTACATACACAAGCCCAATTATCAGCCAAATTTCTGAGCTCTTTCGTTAGATTAAGTTACTGGTAAATTCCACCCATTGGATCATCCATACAAACTAGTACTGTTGTGAATTTTGGTCCATGCCAGAGTTTTATCCATTCTGATTTCTGCAAACTTTTGGTATATTGATGTACAGCCAAAATTTCTGTACAATTTCCCCAGATTTATTGAGATAAGTTTCTTCCTTGACCTAGAAGGTTGAAACCCTACCTTTCTTTTCTTCTTTTTTTGCAGGAGTACATTGAGGCTGTTTCTTTTCACCACTACTGTCTGGGGAAGGGGCTGGTCAGCTTGACCCAAGTACAGACTGACCTAGAGTTTCCAGCCACAGAAAAGGTTTGTACATTTGTACTTTCTTCATAGTGCTGGTAAAGTTTGAGGTGACTGAGTCTTGCATTTGTGTCTGTCTGTTGTATGATGGGTGGGAGGTGTTGTGACAGATGAGATACCAGGTGGAATTGGGCAGCATATGGATTAAATCAGGAAGTTGTGTACAATGTAAAAATCCTTTGCAAAAATCCTTTACAAGGACTGGTAGTATTTGTTCTCTTCCCCTTTACATTTCCAGCCAACCACAGAAGACGGGGAGTGTCCCTCCCACCCAGCAGTGACCTTGTATGTCCCTCCCATCGAGTACATGTTGGGCATCGCAGACTTCACCGGAGAACTGATGCGACTGTGCATCACCAGTGTCAGCAGCGGGGACATGGATCTGCCCTTCCAGCTCTGCCAGTTCATGCGAGAAGTCTACCACGGCTTCAGCTCCTTCAGTCACGCGGGGTCCTGGGAACTGTCCAGAAAGATGCACACCTTGAGACAGAGTCTGCACAAAGTGGAGAACGCCTGCTACACACTACAGGTGCGAGGACTGGAGATCCCCAAACACATGTTAGCTGATGTCTTCAGCTCACAGGACTCAGAGGACACAGGAGAGAGAAGGAACGACATGTCATGATTCATACCCAGGCTTACAACTTAGACCTTTGTTAACATTGTTGGTTTGTTAAAGGATTGGTGTTATTTTCCAATAGATAATAATATTACGAAGTAAACAATGTATTATTACTTCACAAGCATGTGGAATTCTGGAAAAAGTCTGACAATTACATGTATGTATCAACTGATAAACGTTATATTGGAAAATAACACCCTCCTCCTGACTTAAGTGCTGTTGCCTGTTTTGTTGAAAAATTGTATTTGTCCTTTTTTGACAAACTGGTTTCCAGCACTTTTGATGAAATACATGTCTCAACAGATTAGTTTTACATTTTGATATTGAACAATATACACTGTAGTTGCTGTACTAGTACTGATAGTATACATGTATAAGTTTCACACAACCCATTTGTTATGACTTAGCTATTTTGCTATTGTTGGGAAGACAAAACCTTTTTTTCGATTTGGAAGCATACAGGAAGTTGCTGTTCAAGTTACTGTCAGTGTTGTCTATGAAAAATGTAATAATTCCATTGAAAAAAGTCTTAAGTGAATTTTTTAACGATTTCATTAAAAAAACATTTGCAAGGAAACACTTAGATTTTCAACAGAAAAAATGTTCCTGATTTCTTATGTTGAGATTTCTTGATAACTGTTAGGTAAGACTGAAATAAAGGACAGGGTGTCCCTGATACAACAAGTACTTCTTGTGTGGTTGCTAAGATCTGTGTGCAGAGGTGGGCACTCATACGCGTATGTTTTGTTAACATACAATTTCAACATTTGCTTTGTACAGTAAAACAAAATAGTGAAGGTAACCATACTGTTTTTACCCTCCATGAAAATGGTGGGTATTGTTTTCAGTCTGGATGACAATGGAGCCAGACTGCACAATCATTTGAGAGAAAGTATTTATCAGGATATGTGTACATAATGTGTGGAGTCGCTGTCAGCACACACTTAGATACTTCATAATGATGTTGTTTGGAAGCTTGAAAGCATCAAAGTTAAAACAAAATTGGAAACATAAATCAATATAACCAAGGACATTATACACAGTGTATAATGTCCTTGATATAACATATTAGAAATGAGAATAAATCAAAGTCGTAAATTAGCAAAATTGCATATCAATACGTCATATACCTATGCTTAGTAACGCTAGGGCCAGTAAAACACTCCTACACTGGCCTGTGGAGAATGGTAACGAAAACGGATATGTGAAAAGGAAACATTGGTTACCTAGTATGCTAGTAGTAGCTAGGGTTGACGCAACAGTTGGCGCATGTGTTTCTTGAGGGACGGGGGATCGTGGCAGTCTTTCTTTTAATTGACTTTTTTTTTAATTGTCCATCTTGGGGGCTTTTTCATCCCCCATATTTAACATGGTCACTAAAAGTCTAGTTAACATAGATGTTTTATATAGCATTTACGAATGTTAACGTTCATTATTGTCATTCAGTAAAGAAAAATATGCTGAAACCCTTGTGTATTTTTAAGTTAATTCCACTGCCGCTCGACGCTAAACTTACATTGGCGTACCAGCAAAATTTCCCCATTAAAAAATGCATGAAATAGCGTTTCAGAGGGTTGAGTTTTCAAAATTTTCAGGTGGAGCATTCTCCAGGACCCCACCAGAATGGCGCTCGCGAGGGGTGCAAATTCGGTCAATATCAATATCTGGTCCCCAAAGAAAATATAGTGCCTGCATCTCTGGAAAAATGTTCTTACCTGCCGTCAGTAGCAGCAGCCAGCACCTAGCCGCCGGCCCCGGGCGGAGCCGCATGGCCGGGAAACAAGTTACCTCACACCGTCACCATCCACCGGGCATGTGTGTGTGTGTGTGTCCCGCCGTCGACCGAAAAAAAACTACTGACGTGTTGGGAGGTAGAACAGGAAATTTCACAGAGCTACAATGATCAATCATTTAGTTTGTTAATATTGTAAATATTTAATAGTTAATTTGTATGTCTCCGGGGAGACAACGTAAAGAGTGTTAAGCAACCATGTGTTTTGTCACCCCCTCTATGCATCTTGTTATGGAAACTCCAAATAAAGAAATGAAGAAATTCATTCGTGCAGGCTGTAGCTACATTCACCGATAGTATGCTGCTTTAAGATCCGTGAGGCACACGTGAAATTAAAGAGCAACAATTTGCGCGCAAACACAAAAGGTGTCATCCTTTCCTTAACATTTTTATTGGCTGACAAGTAGTCCAAATTTAGGTAAGTTTGACTACAATCGTAGAATACTTCCATACAGCGCATCTTGTATTAGTTCTAATACCTTTCACAAGCTATGAGGGACGTCAGAATTAAACACAGGAAAATTATCTTGGCTCTAGTCGTTAAAATATGTCATTTCCAAACAATAAGTGGAGGGTAGGGATATTGCCCTGAAAATATCTATAGCACTTGTCTTATAGCTATGGCCCACGTGTCAAACACAATCTTTGTCTGTACTGTTATGAATGAATTCATGACATCGTTGTAGACAGCAGACAATCATCGTGTGCTTCGCACCAAAATAGACATCACGTGTACTTGGGGAAGAGCCTCTGGGCCATTCGCCGACTAGCAAGCCGGGCCGTTGTGTGCTTGTGGTGAGAAAAAGACTGCCCGTTATGGACGAGAACGCTCACACGTACCAGGAGGCCTGCACGGTCTCCTCTCCGGGAATGTCGGCCAAGAGGAGGGGCTCAAATCCGAACAACTCCACGGGAACATCGCAAGTTCTGAGCTTGACGACAGGAATGCCGCGGCAGGGAGGTAGTGAGGGTATGCTTATTTATTTACTCTTGTTTTCTTACAGGGTAAACACACTCACCTTTTCAAGGTTCGCTGCGTGACGTCTGTACGGTACTGCAATTTTGGTTTCAAGAAGGATACTACATACTTGAACCTTAGCTATTTAAGTTTGATATTGTGTGGATATCGCTCTTGCGCCTTCTTAGCCGCTGTCCCATGTTTTATACACTGTGAAATAACCTTGCTTGAAAACCATCGTGACTAGCATGATAACCGCATACGGAGTGGGAGGGGGTATGGGGGCCTTGGGGGGTGACTTGATACGTTTATAGACCAATATTTGATGACTTCTTGTAAGCTCCATGGCCACTTCCTCCGTCTTTAAGCCCCTCATCTAGTCTTCTTCTTGTCACACTAACCAGCGATTCTCAGATTAACTATTTACCACAAGTAGCGTTACCCCAGACTTTTATTGCATTCTACAGGTTCGACATTCGCTTCTGAATCTGACGACAACGTAACGGTCACCGCCACGGAGTCTGTCTCGCCTACCGGGACCTCTCCCACTGGTATCCCCGGTGGTGGCGTTCCAGAAGTCGGCAAGAGAAGCCCGGGACAGTATGGAGTCTATGCTATGATGAAGACTATCTCAGTGCTGTCCTTAGTGCTGAAATTCTGCCTCCTGTGTGTTGTTATCTACCTAGGTCAGTGTTATAGGCGTTGCCATATCTATATCATGTTACTACCGTGTCTGCATACAGCGATGTCACTGCATGTAAATGTTGGGCCTAAATGTTCATTAATTACAACAAAACACTTACCAACACATTTTCACAATCTGATTAGAAAAATGATAGTATTAAATTTTCCATACGATTAAATGTCACCTTCGCAATGTATCAATCCGCCATTTTAGGTCATGTGGGTTTTCCTTGCATGTTTCTTCTGTATGTACCCCAGTGCAAAAAAAACATTTTGGGTTGGCAAAATAGAACAGTAAGATAAAAGAAACTGCATTACCGTAGGGTGACATAATATTTTTACATGAACACCATGTACAATATTCAATATACATTCAACCGTCGCCATGCATAGCAATAGTTTTTATTGCTTGCCTTGTTTCTATATAGGTGTGGCAGTGTTGGGCGTGAAGCAGTCAGTCGACCGGCTCGACGTGAAACTGGAAAGGACCACTGACAAACTGACAAACGTCTCTGGTTGGCTACAAAATGTAACGGGAAAATATATATGTACATAGACATCTATAGGGGGACCTCCTACACTAGCATTATATAGTCCAGAAATTATTCAAGTGTGTTTTCTCACACCATCCATAGCTACAGTCGATGTTGTACCTCAATGTGGTCATTCCTTGTGAAGTAACATGGGTTTAACCTCTTCTATTTTCATCCTTTAATTCAGATTCTCATATATTTTGCTAAATGTAAGCACAACTGATGTAATACAAGTTTGGAAAATGTCATTGTCTTATTGGTCTCATGGGAGTCCTCAAAAATGCTGCAAACACTATATCACCATATTATCATATTCATGCCAAATAGCTACATTAATTGCAAACGTACATTGTTTATTTTCTTATAATTGTTTGATTCAGCCACATCATCCATATCAAAAGTATGACTACAACAATACATAGATATGAAAAAAATTCTACTTGTGAGACAAGCTCTTTAATTCTATGATGATGATGTTGAATAGTTCATTCGTGATGGAATCACTTGCAGCCGAATTGCGGATTCAAAACAATTGTTTCAAAAACTCATTCTAAAAAGTAACATCATTATCATACATCAACACTAAGGCAACGCTAATATCCCTTAGACTTCTAAGCTAAAGATTGATAAAACATAAGTGTTTAAAACATGAAACAAACATTTCAGGCGATCGGGAAACTAGCTGAGCCGCCAGGTACCCTGCAGGATGGGGGGCAGATATCACAGCGACTCGAGCAACTTGAAGGCGACGTCAAGACTCTGAACGCCAAGTCACAGAACATGTGTGCCGTACCTGATGCCCAATGTAAGTATGAAGAACACTTACTTTACTTTATCCGTCCACTTCTACCGTCTGGGGTGTCGTGGGGAGAGACAGTTGGCAGGGTGTCCTTCACACTATCTGTCCACGTCTTCCTGGGACGTCTCCGGATTGTCTGTTGATGTATGCTCTATACCAAACTACTAAATTTCTCCACGATCCATCCAAAGAATCTCGAGTTTTCCAACCCCCATAAAAAAACAAATACAAAAGAAAAGGTCCGCTGCAGTAAAACGTAGGAACTACCCACGAGGCCCACTTTCAAACTGTAATCTGCCGACAAAAAATCATGAACATCGATATCCATGGCTTCATGAGTTATGCCGCATAAATCCACAATAGCCAAATGGAATGCTAAACCTTCTGCTGAATGTCGTTCTACAGCGATCTGCCCCAGTGGTTACCAGAAATACCGCGAAGTCTGCTACAAACCGTTTAACACGTTCAAAACCTTCCGCGAATCGGCCAACACCTGTGAGGCGGACGGAGGCACCCTCGCCATGCCCCGAGACGCCGACATCAACGCCTTCCTCATCTCCCTTATGAACGCGGTAGACAAGAAAGGCGTCTTCTGGTTCGGCTTGTGCGATCACGAGAAAGAGGGTACTTGGGAATGGATAGACGGCACCGCTCTGGGGACCGGGTACAGCGCGTGGGGAGAGGGGCAGCCCAACAACCGCGGGGTTGCCGAGGACTGTGCCCATTACCTACGGGACTCGCGCCGATGGAATGACGACGGCTGTCACCACCGATGGTTCTTCATCTGTCAAACCATGCCATAAGGTTCGTACATCAAACTTTTCAATTTTAGGCCACACCAAGTAATTTTTGTGAATGATGTTCTCTGGAGACCCTAAATCTAATGCGAAAGCGCGAAAAAAACAGGAAGGAAAAAACAAGATGCCTAGATTCGAAATATACTATATACTATGAGACCGTCGGACAAATGTTAGGACACAAATTGAATGAGAGAACTCAGTGTAACAACCAAAAAGTCTTTTAGTCCTCATGAAAACAGCAATAAATCAGTGGAACATAACAGCAGTTGTTATTCTACCCTGTTCCTTTCCTGTCATCTTTCAATTTTGCGATCTGTGGCGCTGTCATGACTCTTTGGTCATAGTTACAGGAAGCGTAATTTCTTGCTTTTCATCGGGAAACAGGCCAAAATCAATGCGCGTGCGGACGTCATCCATAAAAATTACTTTGTGTGGCCTTATCATTGAATCAGCAAGCAGGAGAATAAGCAATGTATACAACATCTGATTTGCGTCGATTCTTACCAAATATTTAAACAAAAGATAAAATGAAGTAAACTTATGTAAGGTAATGACGCCTGTTTTTATCATAAAATCTTAAAGTCGACAGATTTCGATGACGAACAAGATTTTATTTCCCAGCAACAAGAGACTAATTCTCATTCTCAATCTTACCATAACATGTACAAGTCTGAACTTTTGAATTTAAAAGAAATTTACTGTAAAATGAATCAATGGTTTAGAGGACTGATGACTCATTAAGCTTAGACTGTATTTATTTTCTAATTCCAGATACACAAATTGAGGTCCACGCTGGACGTGGGTACAGTCACAAAGTTGCTACTTGATAATCTGGACTTAAAAATACATGCTACCGAAGTCACTTTCAAACCCCGACTAATCATAACTACGTCATTTGTGTGGGTGGTTGTGCAAGTCTCCTTGGTACATAGTCATCGTACATCATTGTCTTGCCGTGATTTATGAAATACTAGTGAAAAAGTGAAGTGTGTATATTTAGTAGGATTACAAATAACTAGCTTACTACAGTGAATTTAAGCCGTAGTTTACCTGGGAAACGTCTAGTTTGCTGCAGCTGGTTAACCTTTCGAATGTCCCTGGAGCACACCAAGCATAATTCTGTATCAAATGTCTTTAGCAGTTTTCTTTAGAATGCCCTCGTCTTTATCTTAGTTTGGATCTATGTCAGATATGTACTTTACCATCAACGTTACGTTATCTAACTGAGGAGATTGATGATTTCATGAAGGGAGTTGCATGAAGTTGAAGTAAGAGGACACGGACAGTGATTTTTATTGTTTTAATAGTAGAGGAAATTATTGCCTTTGTAATATTCTCATTTGTCATAATAGTAGGCGTGGCAGGTTACTTTTGAAATGTTCCGGTCAGAAATTTATTTCCTGATTAAACATTCTCACAGCTCACCAAATATTTAATGACTGGCATCGCTTACATAACTTGACTGGCAGGTTACCGTTTGTGTGTATCGTGTGCATGTGTGTGTGTGTTTATACGTGCGTGTGTGTGTGTGTGTGTGTGTTGAGTGTAATAACGTTACCGTAAGTTGAACCAGTAACAGCGATGCGCCCTCTAGTGTACACCCTGACCTTTGAACTGCAGCTAGGAGGGTTACTTCCGTGTAGTTCCTCCGTATGCGTGCACTCGCTAAGTCCATAAAACAGTGTAGAACCAACACAGCACAGCGCCACGACATGGCTGCAACAGACACTCTCCTGAGCACCGGCGGCACCACCGTTGTGAGATCAGGGGGGCGAGTTCAGCGAGCCGCCGGTCGCGACGTTTCCGGGGATGGTAAGACCCACAGACCGCAGCCCGGCCCACTGGTATGGCGGAGGATAGATAGCCTGACAGGGACACAGAATTAGGACAGCCATCACAAAACTCTGGATTAGTTCACACAAACTCCATATAGAAAAGGCATTCCTCTACAGCTTAACCCTAAACAGTACACCTGGGGTCCGCGCGGACCCCAGCACTATATATTCTGTAATATCTTTTTTGTTTCTAAAGATTTTTTTCTGAAATTTTAGGTAATTGTCACCCACAAAGTTGTCTCTCAATACAGTGCAGAAAACTCCGTTTCTACCATTTGTAAATTGGTAAAAATTATATCTGATTTTCTTTTGGGGTCCGCGCGGACCCCAGCCGGCTTTCGATCATAATGGATACACTGGCGTTCTTATACATTACCTTATTTCCGTTTTTATATGTTTTTATGCACTCATCGTATGTCTACCAAGTTTTCAGAGAATGGTGTAGTAATAGAATTAAATTTTAATAACTTTGGTGTAATTATGACGTCATATGACGTCAGAGCTAATAATATAGTCCGCCATATTGGATTTTGACCAATGACGTCATCAAATTAGCATATTCTATGCATATGAAATGATTTAACTTATATTTAATTATGTAAGATGTTATTAATGTTGGAAAAGAAGTGTAATTTATTATAAAACTCAGAAAATTGTTATGTTTAAACAAAAATTACTTCTATTTAAAAAAAAACTGCCTGCTAGAAGCCCGTTGCCATGGCAACACAAAAAACATCAACTTACTAGTAATAAACTAATATGAACTTTTTCCCAGAGACATTTTAGGAAAGGTCTCCAAATTTGATACTTCTAGTGCAAGCCGTTTAGCCGCTATCTGAGATCAAAGTTAGGCCTCAAAAGCCCCTTCAGTCTGAAATGGGTTTAAAAATCGGGTATTTCTTCTTGTCTTCTTTTCTTCACCAAAAAATAGAAAAAGTTCAAAATGTATGATTTTTGTATGTAATGTGGACACAGAGGTTCCCACATCAGTTTGCAAAACAATTGAGCTGGTAGCATGTTGATAATTTCTAATAATTAGCAAAAAACTGTTCTGGGGTCCGCGCGGACCCCAGGTGTACAGATTAATCAGTCCGGGAAGGTGTTCTGTTGAGGGTT